TTCTTCAATATCACTATCTTCTAATTCTATATCATCAAGTAGTCCAGTATTTCTTATAGATGATGAATCTTCAAAATCATTTTCTTGTTCAGTTTCAGTTTCACTATCTTCTTCAGAAGAACTATAATTTAATACTACTCTAAATTTTTTTATTTGTTCTATCTCCTCATTACCTATTTCTTCTGCTTCATGTTCTACTTCTTCATTTTCTCCTTCTTCATTTTCACCTTTTTGCTCAATTCTTTGTTCAATATTACTTGCTAAAAATGATGTAGTTAAATCTTCAGCAGATAATATTGATAAATTAAAGCTTTGACTAGTAGATAATAATGGTTCTCTAGTTTCTTCCTGACTATTATCAATAGAATGATCTATTCTTCCAAATTCTTCTTGTCTATGTAATCTTTCTGTTTGAGTACTCACAACTTTTCCACTTTCACCACAAATAGAGCAATAACACCAAACCATATTTGTTTATAACTTTATAGTAATTAAAAAAATCGAAATATATTTTTCTTTTGATTTAAAAACAACTAATTTTATATGTTATTGCTAAGAATATAAAATGTAGAAAATGTTTTTTTAATATTATATTGTTTTTCAAACTTGGCTCTTGTCATTTAATAAATTTTTCACAATATATATTTACATTTTAATATCCAAGATGTATTTTTTTTTTTGCCTAATGATAAATTTAAACCACAATCAAATATATATTTTCACTATATTGAAAAAATATATAGAAAATTTTTAATATTATAGAGTTTTAGCAAATGTTAAGTTTGGCTTTTGCTATTTAAAAAAAAATTAATTATTACATACAATTATATATTCAATATTTAGATTTGTATTCTTCATTACTATTTTTTTGTACATTTTTTTATGTTAAGAAAGAGAGCGTGTATTAATTTATTTCTCTTCTATTTATATAGCTGTTTACTATATTAAGTATAGTAGTTAGTTTATTTAAACTATAATAACCTTTGTATAATGTATATATAATATTTGTATATATGAACATACGTAATAAACAGGTCAATCATTGCATCATTGTATTCCCACTCACACACTGTTGCAACTGGGAAAAGTCTCCAATTTCGTAATATTAGTTTAGCTTAGAGTTATAAATGTAAGCTTGAGTTCAAGTCATAAAAGAAGGTAGATTAGTTGGATAGCATTATTTTATAGATTGTTATTATATAGATTGTATAATAATTTATGAGTGAATAAATACGTACGTATATGCAAAATGTTTATGATTGTCGATCTAGCCAAGACTTAGACTATATAGTAGATCTGAAATTATTAAAGTTGAATTTCTAGATACAAATAGAATATTACAGGCTATCAGCATGCTAAATAAAGGTTATAACAGGTTTGAGATTATTGTAGGATTCTATTTTTCCAAACACAACCTTTTTAATAGATATCTGGTTTTTTATTTGTTGATTAGTTTGCATATTTGTATGCCATAGTAAGTAGACTAATCTAGATTAGAGTACGTATTATTAATAATTCGTTATTTTGTCATTTTTATTATCGTTATACATGAAATAAATAAGCTTTTTTTTCAATAAAA